ACACAAGCTGGTGGTCCACACAGCTCCAGGAGAACATCTGCTCACGTCATGATGAGGTGATGAAGATGTTCTGCCGTACTGATCAGCAGCGTATCAGTTATCTCTGCCCTGTGGATGAACATCAAGGCCACGACACAGTCTCAGCTGCAGCAGAAAGGACTGAGAGGCAGAGAGAGCTCGAGGTGAGTCAAAAAAACATCCAGCAGAGGATCCGGGACAGAGAGAAAGATGTGAAGGTGCTTCAGCAGGAGGTGAAAGCTATCAATCACTCTCCTAATAAAATGGTGAAGGACACTGACAAGATCTTCACAAAGCTGATCCGTCTCTTCAAGAAAAGACGCTCTGATGTGAAGCAGCAGGTCAGATCCCAGCAGAAGACTGAAGTGAGTCGAGTCAAAGAGGTTCAGGACTACTTTGAGGATGTGACAGCGGCTGTGTCAGAAGTCAGTGACAAACTACAGGACGTTCTGAGTGAGAAATGGACAAACATCCCTGTTACATTCCTCCAGATGGTAAGTCCAGGGAGAGGAGGAGCACCAATATTTGAAATAAAAACTGGGGCAAAAGAGGACAGGAAGTCAGGGTTATGTACAAACTAAAGTGTATTTATTCAATATTCAACAAAGGAAAACCAACTCAAAAATACTCTCTCAAAAGGAGACAGCGAGCCAACAAGGTAAGGCAACAACAAACACAGGGTAAGTAACTGAGGGAGCAAGATTCAAAACTAAATGAACCGCTGAAAAGTCCTCTCTGACTGAAAAGGTGACCAGACACTGTTCTGGACTCACGGAAGCTCTACGCTGGTGGGCTGCCTCTGTCCACTGGGCTGACGGGCTGGCAGTGGTCTGCTCACGGGTGTTGGTCTGCAGTGTGGTCGCAACAGGTAGAAAGGGAACAGACCAAGTGCTGGTGATCAAGCACACCTGCTGCCACTCACTCATGCAGCTGAGGCATGGGGGGAAGGGCCACTTCCTGAGAGAGACAAGGAACACACAACCCAACCCAAACACACGACCCGTAGGGTCGTAACAATCCCACTAACAGTGACAGAAGTGGATGTTTTGCTGTCATATTCACAACCAGAGCCCAAGACCAGAGCTGGATTCTTACAACATTCATGTGAAATCACACTGGATCCAGACACAGCACACACACAGCTCTTACTATCTGAGGGGAACAGGAAAGAAACATTAATGATGATTAATTTAGTCACCAGAAATCATTTAAGGGACAGTGGATATATTAATTTTTTCTGTTTCCTAAACTTATTTTTGCTGCTGAGAGCTGATGTGGCATTTCTTCACTGCACAGAGATCACCTGTCAATCAAACATTATGAGGGAGGTACTTTTACTTTTACACGCTCCTTCCTGTGTCTGTTTAGCCATGGAGACTATAATGGAGTCATGATGGTTTTTAAATACCTGAACTGACATTTATCTGCATTAAAATGTAAACTTCTCTGTGCTCTAAATGTTTTTTGCACAATTGTATTGATGTATTTTATGTTGTAGTTTCTCTTCTTCTGCATGGATATTTTTTTCTATCCACTTTGTAATAATAATATATATTTATATGTATTTGTTTAGCAGCAAAGGAAAGCACAAATGAGGCACTACAAGGTGATCTTTTCTCTTACATGACTGAGATTCTGGTCAAATATTTCTGATTGTGTGGATGAAGTGAATCTGTACATGAAATCAATGAATTGAATTGAATTGTTTTTATTTATCTTCCTGCATCTTGGCAGGCTAACAAGTGAAATGTGAAAATGCACAACACTAGAGGCGCCTTCATTCTGCTAACCAGGCATGTAGTGGATTTAAACACCTCAACAAAAGAGGGTGACAAAGAAAGTTTAACAATAAAATAAAGAGATAAACTTTATTTTACAAACCCTTTATTCTATGTAGGGACGCAGTATAAAAAATACAATGTACAGTATATCCCACATGTCTGCCTCCATTGTTCACTCTCTCCACCTCTAGAGGGAGTCTCAGCTCTTTTAAGGGCCACAGAGCTGAAACTGTGAGAAGAGAAAAACAACTGGTTTCTTTTTAATGACTATATGATTCAAACCATTATGCAAAAAACAACAGGTTGCATTCAATAAGTAATGCCTGTTTTTTTTTGGGGGGGGGGGGGGGGGGGGGGGGGGGGGGGTGTTTAGTTGATGGTGGCATAGAGGCTGCTGGGAACGGCTGAGGCTACAGCAGAAGAAGAGGAAGCTTTAACTTTCATGTAGGTCACTGCATCATCTTCATCATCACCCCGAACCTGGAAGGAAAGAGAACAAATCATATATTAAATAAACACAAGTTAACAAAACATGACCAAGAGTTCTGAATTTGTCCTGATTTGCTATTATCTAACAACTAAAATATTCAATTTGCTCAGCTTTTCTTTTTTATTAGATCATATAATATCTTGCGAGTGGAGTTCACATGTTGGTCTGATGGTAGTGCTACTGTACAGGAAAGGTGAGAGGGTCACTGAAAACACACGTCTGTGAAAAATCATTGTCATAAATATTAACAGAACATTTCATGTCAACTTGATCTTTAGTTTTGAAGCACAGAGACTGACAGCCTGACTGACATCAGAATCATACATATCATAAATAAAAACTGACCTTAATAATAAAATAGAATATTCATTCTGTAGCATGTCTACTTATGTTTTTAATAAACTTATGAGAATTAATACAAAATATTCAGAGAATATTAATTCATAAAGCTCTCATTTCGCGGGGCACCACCGGAGATTTAATTCACCCAGACTCTCCGGACGTCTGGGTAGTGTTTTAATAATTATACAATTATTCACTAGTGATCAGTTAGTTAATAATCGCTCAACTATCTTCAGTCAGTCTCATATTGAAGGGGTAAATTCTCGTGGCAGGGACTTGGAGGTAGACAATACACACACACAATTCCTGTGATTAAGGTGAAATTTATTAACTAACTAAGGTGGATATAACAATGGCTAAACAATGAGAATGTGGGTTTCTATTGTGGGGAGAATTTGATTCACACGGGCAGCTAATGAACGCAAGCTATGAGTTTTAAGAGTTAAAAATAATCTATTAACAAACTATTGGACATCAGGTCGGCAGCCTGCCTTGGCCTGTTGCACGGGTCCCCACGCTAGCTGCCCGATTCCTGGCTTTCTGCTAGGGAATTTTCAGGGGGTTCTCCATGTTTGAATGAAGAAAAACACTCCAGTGTTGACCGTCCTCGGTCTGGCAATTAGGCTGTTCTTTTTGGATGTCCTTTGGGTTACTGCTGGCGGGCCCACGTGGCTGGGTCCGGGCGTCGGTGGGATGAGTTAGCTCGACAAATAAAGCTTAACAGAACTTGGTCGTTCTTGAATTAAAAATGGGGAACTTAACGGACTGATAACTTTAAACAAACAAAAGGAAATAACATAAAAAGCAAGTAAGTTGCTGGGAACGGAGGAGAAGTCGAGGTCACGGCGCTTCGTGTGTGTGGCTTGAAACGAACAAAGAGCCTTCGCTGCGCCGGGTCGAACTTCTTAGGGCATTGCCGGGGAGAGGGAGCACGCTGGCCGTGTGCCGAAGTGCACGGGCAGAGTGAAGAGGACAAGAGAACAAGCAGAACAAGAGAAGAGAACAAGAGCGTGTGTCAGGCACCGAGCCTTATCTCAGCTGCTGGTGGCCAGTTTAACGTTCAAACTGCCCAGAAACAGCACTTAGGGAAAGCAAACCTTTCACCTCCTCCTCTGGGGTCTTTTCAGCCGTCTGTTGAGGGTTGATATCTCAACCCCCTCCTCTTTCTCCCAGGGAGAGAGAAGGAATATGGAGTCTTTCAAATTTATTTGATATAAAATGCAAAAATCCACACTATCCAATGAAGGTTAAAGTCAAGGGCAACTGGACTTAGTTGAAGATACTGGAAGATGTTTCGTCCCTCATCCAAAGGACTTCTTCAGTTCTGACTGACTGGCAGGGAAACTCAGCTAACAGGAACAGTTATTTTTCAGTTGTTTTACATTATTTATGCATCCTTAACAGTAGTCCAAGAAGAGTGTGTGAACTGATGCAGTCCTTGTCACATGTTGTTTTGTTCATTGCAGGTATGATGGAAAAATAATTAACATAATATGATCATTTCAGTTGATATTATATCTGTACAAATGTTTTGTTTCAGTCTGCGTTTGGAGCTGAAAGAGACTGTAGTCCAAGAGGAGTGTGCGAACTGATGCAGTCCCTGTCACATTGCAGACAAAATCACTATAGAAAGATCCAAAAAGAGAGATGTGGTGTAGTGGTGATTTTCGTGGTGTGTCCTGAACTTGCTACACTATAACCAATCAGACAGCTTACCTGGTGTTTACTGTTGGTCTTCCTGGTGTAGCTGATGGAGGCGTAGGAAACACCATCTTCAGGATCAGCCTACACAGAGAAGACAACATAATGGCTGCTCAGTAACAATTTATACTACTTGCTTACTTACTTTCTATACAATAAAGTCTGCAATGTTTGTTATTTTCTCTTTCTGGTGTAGGACTACACAGTTAATAGTGAAAAATAAAAAGCAAACTTTATACAACATTCAGCTCACCATGTTTCCATCCATCTGTGTTTTGTTTCCTGAAAAGAAAAGAGTCAGGTTTAGTTTACACAGTGACAATTATTATTAAATTATGAAAAGGTTTATTGTAACTTCTTGTTTATAAAAGTTGCCTCTGTAGTTGCTCTCACCTTTAGTTCTCTTCCATCTTATGACTACCACAGCAATTATCATGAGAGCTGCTAAACCCACAGACACAATGATGAACGTCAACTGAACTGGAGAGAGACCTAAATGTTAAATACAGTCAGAATAAAGTGTCTGTCAAAAATGTTTTCCATCATGTCTTTTCTAACTTTTAATGTATTTCTGTTTTGTTTGGTCACTACCTTTTGGTTTTGTTTGATCATTGTTGTTTGTCCCTGCTGATGTGGTTTTCTTCACTGATGCCCATGTATTTCTTGTTTCACATGTTGAAGTTTCTGGTGATTCTGTAGTTGTTGCACCATCACATTTACAAATGCAGAAACAAAATGTAAACAAGAATGATGTGATAATAAAACATCAACTCATCATTATTACTATTATCATTAACATAGATAAAATCTCAGCAAAATAAATTTAACTAAAGATGAACATGTTCCATATGTGTTTCAATAATAAAAACAATAATAACATGTAAACGGTGTATGTGATATTTCAATGGATTTTGATAGTTTGGATTTTAGAAATTTGAACTGATTAAAAATCTTTTGAAAATAATTTCTTCATCCTCACTTGTAAACACAGCAGTTCAAATGGTGATTAAATATAAAAATGTCATCAAAACATCAAAGACCTCCACTGTAAACATGCATCTACACTTTATCCAAATCAACTGCATTTGTTTATAAATCCTAGATTTGTTTTATGTTGGATCAGTAAGCGACTTTGTTTGTTACCTTTTTTTGTTGTTGTTGATCCCCTTGTTGTTGTTGTCAATATTGATCTTGTTGTTGTTGCATCCCCATCTGACAGATAAAAAACCCCAACAAACTGTAAAATGAGAAAATATCTCATGTTTATAAATGATGTCATTTCAAAACTTAAAATCTCAGATGGTTTCTCACCTGAGGACTGAGGGATGAAGGGAAACAGCTGCACTTTTTTAGTGTAACTATCAGTCACGTTACATTTAAACAACTCAGGATGCTTCGACTTCTGATTAAAGTCAGATGTTGTAAATGTCACAGTGGCTGAACAGGAATGCTGTGATCTCTTCATGTCTGTCAGATCATTCTTATTACCCTCATACAGCCACTCCACTGTGTGACTACAGTGTTCATATGTCGACACAGAGCAGGTTAACGTCACCTTATCAGCGTCCTGATGTTCAGTCACTGGTGAAGATGGAGATATTGTGAGAGAAAGACAACAAGAGTAAAGTTAACTTCATCACTGTGATCATAATTATTGTAATGTTTCAGTATGTTGTTCTAACAAGATAGTTTGAGCTGAAAACATTATGATGATAATACTCACTGTTAATAACAGACAGATGAACCGCAGAGTCTTCACCTTGTTGTTGTCCTGATCTGAACTGTCTGCAGGTGTAAAGACCAACATCCTCGACTGTGACCTTCTTTATAACCAGAGAACAGTTCTCTGTAACACTCAGTCTGTCTGATTTAGCTTTGGTGTTGTTGAGAATCTGCCCAAGTTCAAACAGCGTATCCGTTTGTTTCGTTCTTGAATCAGTGAAGAGCCATGTAGTACTGTCACACTTACCCTTATCATCTATCACATTTTTACAAGACAGAGTGACTTCATCTTCAACTCTGATTATGAAAGACTGTTGTCCAGTTGCTGCTGTTGAGAAAGAGAGAAAAATAAAAGTTAAACATGAATTTAACTTTTATGTTCAGTTAGTATGAAGACAATTTTCGATACTACAAAAGTTTGTAAATATATTTCACTCTTCTTGGTTTACAAGAGTTCACAAAACTCATCATGTAACAAAGTTTACTTTATTAAAAGGTACAAGACTGTTTTTTTTGTCATTATACAAAGTTTGTAGTTCCTTCATGCTACACAAACACAACTTAACAGAATATTAAATGTGTATTAAAATATGTTAAAATATAAATTAAATTAAATTAAACAATATATAGGTATTTATATACAAAGATAATACTATACACGTATACACCCAGAACATTCTGCAGTTCATTTAAAATAATTAATAAAGTACAATTAGAAGAAATATTGAAGTTTAATAATGTTTATAATTTAATGTGTGTTTCATGTGTCCTTACCTGGAAACCTAAACAACAGCATCAGAAATAAAGACATTATAATCCATCTGAATTCAACCATCGTGCTTCTCTCTTGGTCTCACGCTCTCAACTGTCAAAGTCTCTAACGTGCTGCTTCTGAAAGTAATACAGCATCTACTTCCTGTGATTAGGAAGGAGTCACTTCCTCAAACTGACTTCAGTCTGTGTTTTCTCTCCTCTGTTGGCGGTTGAATGTAGGTGTGATATTAGCTTTTATTCTCTCTGAATTTCTTGTGGATAGTTTACGTCTCGAGTGACTATCAACCCGTAGCTTTGCTCCTCTGGTATTACTGCCAATTCCCTGCCTGACAGGAACTTAGGTTATTGGCTGGTAGTTGGATGGGATAGTTCCCTTCAGGGGATCCTTTGTGATCAAGACTGTCCGTCCTTGGGTTAACCATTCTGTTTGGGTCCTGTCAATTAGCATTTGGTTCAGTTGTGTACTGCCAGGCATTTGTTGGGTGCAGTTAGTTTCTCCAGAACACAGATAAGATGATATTTTACTTATCTAAGATTTGCTGGTTCCTCATTTGATCTTTGCAGTTATTTTTAAGTGTTTTGATGAGAATGTGAGCAGCAGAGCTCTGGAGGTGTTACCCGCCAATTATGACCAGATAATCATCAGAAACACAAATAGTGAACGCACTGATGAGTCTGACTGAACTGTCTTTAAATATCCTGGAGGTAGATGTACATGTAGTAGCAGGTCAGTTCATGATGTTTTGAAATGGTTTGTTAGAAGGACCTTTTAGTAAACTACCCCAGTCTGGATGTCGTCACCACTTCAGGGTTTTTCCTGCTCTGAACACTGCAGAGATGAGTCTTTGGCCCTTTAATGACATGTCACATTGCAGCTACAGTAAGAGGTCATGCTTTTTGAACACATCTGAATGCAGCCTGAGCTGCTGCACCAATTCTTTGTTAATTTTAGATGCATGTATGTGTTATTTAGACAAATGTTAGAGCGCAGTGCAAACAGAGGTTTTCAACCAGAGGGAAGTTTTACTACGAGAGGTGAGAGAACAAGTAGTGGTCAGCTGAGCACAGACAAGCTTGTGGTGTGTGTGTGTGTGTGTGTGTGTGTGTGTGTTTTACAGAACCACAAAACACATTGTAAAGTTAAATTCAATTTTTTAAATTTTATATTTGCAAATTATATTATTGTCAGCCATAACAAAGTAAAGATTGTTACAGATTCCATTAAGACATGAAAATCCTTAAAGTCAAACACATAGTCCAGTATGTTTAAATTAAAGTCAATCATAATCAATTCATCTGTACACTGAGGGACAAAAGGGATGCACCTTCACCTAACAGCTGCACCTTCAAAATTAACAATTAAAAAACTCACAGCTACATTGTGCAGCAGGAAATACATTTTTATTCAAGATTAGGTTAGATTTATATTTATTGCGTACAAGTACTTAGACAATGAAATGTAGTTTAGTATCTAACCAGAAATCCAACAAGCAGTAAATTGTGAAATAATGTACATATCCACTCAAAAACCTTTAACCTTTGTGTTTGATGCATTTCATTGACTTTCTACATTAAGGGTAACAGCAGACAACATGTTGATCACAAAGAAGATGATATTTTACTGGTTTGAGGTCTGCTACTTCCTCTTTGTATCTTTGCAGTTATTTTTAAATGAGAACTGAAAGAGAAGTGGTTTGATGAGAATGTGGTTAACAACAGCAGCGGAGCTCTGGAGGTGTTACCCTCCAATGATGACCAGATAAACACCAGAAACACAAATAGTGAACACATTGATGAGAGTCTGACTGACTTTCTTTAATTGACTGGAGGTAAAAGAAGTCCCCACAATCCCATGTTTGAACACATGTAGCAGGTCAGGCTGCTTTGAAACTATTATAAGGACATTTCAGAAAACTAAAAACTAAAGAAATAGATGTTTATCCAAGTCTGGATGACATCACCGCCTCAGGGTTTTCATGCTGTGCACACTGCAGAGATGAAACTTTAGTCCTTTAATGATGTCATATTACAGCTACAGTAAGAGGTCATGTGAATCCACTATGAACATTTCTGAACGCAGCCTGAACTGCTGCACTTTTGTGTATTCTCTCTTCATTTTAGATGCATTTATATGTTATTTAGACAAATGTTAGAGCCAACCAGAGGGAAGGTTTACGAAGAGAGGTGATGAACAAGTAGCGGTCAGCTGAGCAAAGACGTAAGTGTGTGCATAGGTGTCGCTAGACCCTTTTTACTGGGGTACATGCCTCTGTATTCATATGCGCCCCAGCAAACATCTGGTTACAACACATATTCCGTCAAGTCATATAAAGTATTTTACATTTGAAAGAGTATTAAAAGAAACCTGTGGGAGCCAGTTTGAATGGGCCTGATGTTGATGATAACATCTAGCAAGTATTGCTATTTATAATTTACAGGGCTATACTAAAGTTTGTTGGTAGAGTACACGCTGGATCATCAGCAAGTAAAAGCACAGACTCCAGCCTCAGCCAGTAGGCTACAAGCACAGACCCAGTCTTTAGCAAGTCCCACAGACCCACATGAAGTACTGCCAGCCTCAGCCAATACCAGCACAGCCAGAACTGTACAACCAGCATCAGATACAAGCAGCTCCGACCCTAAGGGAACAGTAGCTGCTTCACCAAATGAGGATAGTGTGAGTGTGCAGAGGTCCATTCAAACCAGCATAGGATTTTTCTAGAGGAGGTTTATTCCTTTCAGGTTTATTACAGAGACATTAAAATTGAACCCATGCACAAAATCTGGATGAAATTGTAACATGGCCGGTGTCCAATAAAAGTAGAATTCTCAAATGAAAGACTTTGATAAAATATATGTAATAAGAAATGCCAACAACGCCACCTAGCGAATACTTTGAGTCGTAGGACTCACACACGCAGGTTCTTTTAAAATCGTGGTTGGAGCAGAGCAAAAACCACACGGAGGTAAAATAAATTTCTTTTGATTATTCCTTTGGCTTCAGATTTACTGAGTGGTACGCACAAGATCTCCTCATGTTTCAGAGCCTGTTTTGCTAATGCATCCACACCTTCATTTCCCTTAATCCCTCTGTGAGCTGGGGTCCACATAAATGTTATCAGCATGTTCATATTTTTAATTCTGTACGTTTCATAAATCTCATTAACCATATCTTGCCTGCTGTGAGATGTAAATGACTGCAGTGACATTAATGCAGAGCATGAGTCTGTACAAAGAAATGTTTTTTTAAATTTGTAATTCTTCTATCCACTGTAATGCTGTTACAATTGCCAACATCTTGACTGTATATACGGATAAATGATCTGATGTCCTTCTTTTAACAGAAACATGTAAGGCAGGAATACTGAAAGCAAAACCGGTTCTGCCTGTATTAGCATCCTTGGATCCATCTGTATACACCTGGACAAATGTTTGATATAGTGTTTGTAACCTATCTTCAACCAATGCTGCAATATTTCCACAACCTTTTTGACCCTGCATTTTTCCCAGAAAATGTAAGTCAACTGACACTGAAGGAAACATCCAGGGTGGAGTTACGGATAATGGCACTGTAGGGATATATCTTCCTTGACTTAATGTCATGTCTCCAGCTATTTCCTCACATTTCCATGAAAAACTCATTTGGCCCTTTCACTCTCCCAACATGGGAGAAGTATCTTTGTTGTAGGATGTCGATCCTCAGACTGCCCTTGCAGATTTACCCAGTAGTGCAACTGTTTACATCTAATATTCAGCGGCATTTCCCCCACCTCAACATGAAGTGCAGACACAGGAGTTATTTTTACAGCCCCACAACAGAGTCTCAAGGCTTAAGCTTGCACCACCTTGCTGCTGATCCATAAGCGATACACCCATAGTCTAATACTGATCTAATCAGCGCTATATATACATTTTTGATAGCAGCCCTACTTGCTCCCCACTCTGACCCTGTTAAGCATCTCATCACATTCAGTATATTTTTACATTTGGTGTTTATCTTACTGATATGTTCATTCCATTTTAACTTATCATCAAACCACATACCCAAAAATCTAAAGACTTTTACTTGCTCTATCTTTTGCTCATACATCTTTAACTGAGCATTGACCCCTCTCTTTTTAGTGAAGGCTACGGTTTTAGTTTTCCCAATTGCAAACTTGAATCCCCATGCAAATGACCATCTTTCCACCACATTAACTGACTCTTGTATTTTACCCTTAATATGGTTAATGTTCTTTCTCCTTTTCCACAGGGCTCCGTCGTCAGCAAACAGTGACTGCCCAATATCACCATGAACCTGAGAAAAAACATCATTAATCATAATGGAAAAGAGTATAGGGCTAATGACACTGCCCCGAAGAGTACCATTCTCTACCATATATCTTCCTGATACAGCTGTCCCAATTCTGACTTGTATACTTCTCTCAAATAAGAATTCTTTAATCCAGTTATATGTCCTACCTGTTATTCCTATCATTTTTAATTTTATCATTAATCCCTCCTTCCAGACCATATCATATGCCTTCTCTACATCAAAGAACACTGCCATTACAGATTCTTTATTAACTTGCACTTTCCTTTTCTCTGTTTCTAAACACATAACAGGATCCATAGTTCCTCTAACCCTGCTAAATCCACTCTGATGAGGTGAAAAAATTCCTCTTCTTTCCATGTAAAATGATAATCTTTCTGTAATGATTCTTTCCATTATTTTTCCTATATGTGACGTAAGTGCTATTGGCCTATAGTTCATTGGACTTGACGAATCCTTCCCTGGTTTCCTGATAGGAATGATTATTGATTCTTTCCACCCAACTGGCAATTTCCCCAATTCCCATACTTTATTATAAAAACCTAGCAATTTAGCAGATGCTAAAACACCTAAATGTTCTAACATTACACAGCAAATATCATCCTTCGTTCATCCAAAATCTTAAAACGATCTCATGATTCTGTTGTTTGTCTATCTTATGTAAACAGAAGTTGTTGATCAGTGAAGTCTGACTGAGACAGAAGGCTCTCCAACATTTTCATAGTTGACCATCATGTTCTTCTTCATCATTATGCTCCTGTGAAACACAACAACACATGAGAGTCATGAGAACGCCCCACATTTTCTCGTAGCTGACGGTAGATGTTTTCAAACTGAACACAGTTCACAGTTGAGTCAGCAGAACCTGAACACACGTTTGATAAATCAGTTTCAAACTCACCATGTTTCCATCCATCTGTGTTTTGTTCCCTGAAAAGACAAAAATGGGTCTAGTTTAGTTTCCACAGTGTTTATTTTAACTTCTGGTTTATGGATGTTTCATCTGTGGATGCTCTCACCTTCAGTTCTTGTCCATATGTTGACTGAAACAACAGTTATTATGAGTCCTGATAAACCCACAGGCACAATGATGAACCGCAACAAAACTGAAAATAGAACTTAGAAGTGTTAAATACGTTTTTTGATGATCAGACAGTTTGTAGTGTGTTCTTGCATTTCACTCTGATGTGAAGCAGCAGGTCAGATCCCAGAAGAAAACTGAAGTGAGTTGAGTCAAAGAGGTTCAGGAGAAGCTGGAGCAGGAGATCACTGAGCTGAAGAGGAAAGACCCTGAACTGAAGCAGCTCTCACACACAGGATGACAACGTGTTTCTAAACCACTACCCCTCACTGTCAGCACTCAGTGAATCCAGAGACTCATCCAGTTTCACTAACCGTCCTCTGCGCTACTTTGAGGATGTGACAGCGGCTGTGTCAGAAGTCAGCGACGTTCTGAGTGAGAAATGGACAAACATCTCACTAAAAGTGACTAAAGTGGATGTTTTGCTGTCATATTTACAACCAGAGCCCAAGACCAGAGCTGGATTCTTACAACATTCATGTGAAATCACACTGGATCCAGACACAGCACACACACAGCTCTTACTATCTGAGGGGAACAGGAAAGAAACATTAATGAGTAAACCACTGTCTTATTCTAGGCACCCAGAGAGATTCCTGGCCAATTTCCAGGTGCTGAGTAGAGAGGGTCTGACTGGACGTTGTTACTGGGAGGTGGAGTGGAGGGGGACAGCAGTTTATGTAGCAGTCGCATATAAGAATATCAGCAGAGCAGGGAGGTTGAATGAATGTGGATTTGGATTTAATGACAAGTCTTGGGCATTAAGATGTCACAAAAGAAATTATGAATTTTGGTACAACAACATCAAAACTCCTGACTGATTAAGGAGAACATTCAGTCTTTTCTCTTACATGACTGAGATTCTGGTCAAATATTTCTGATAGTGTGGATGAAGTGAATCTGTACATAAAATCATTGAATTGAAGCAGTTTATTCATGATTGAACAAAGGATCTTCTCCTTGTCTTTATTTCAGTTTGTCATGCAAAGCTAGTAAAGAAAATGTAAAGCTGTTGAAGCTAAGGCTCAGAGAAGTTTTTACCTGTCTTCCTGCATCTTGGCAGGCTAACAAGTGAAATGTGAAAATGCACAACACTAGAGGGCGCCTTCATTCTGCTAACAAGGCATGTAGTGGATTTAAACACCTCAACTCAGTCTGTCTACAGTTTCAGTTAACAGCATGTTTTTAGGTTAATAAGATATGAGTCATAATAAAAATGCAAGGTGTAATACATCATGGTTTACTTGACTATTTGAACTGAAATCTGTGCTTAAACTACAAATCTAACATCCACAAGAAAGCGTCAGTCTGACATTTACACTACTGACTTCAAGGAGGAGAGCGAGAGAGATGCCCCCCCACGACCTTTTTCCATAACTCTTTCCTTAATTTCCTGTCATCTCTACTACTGTCTGCTATAAAGATTTTAAAATGCTGCAAAATACTTAGAATAGAGAGGTTTGTTGAAGTAACATTATTTACAGATACTGTGTTTTTACCTTTTTTATACAGTCTATGGTTTACCTGTGTTTGTGGTGCAGTGAAATATTCATGGGAACTCTTTTCAGTGTGAATGTGGGAACAGCAGCAGCAGAGATCTGGTGGTTTGTTGTTGAAAAGACAAACAGGCATTTAATGTGAAATGTCTGATCCTGAGCAGGAACATTTCCAGCAGAAATTTATTTATCCAAGTGCTTTGTGGTCAAAAGGTGTGAAATGCAACATTGTGGGACTAATTATTTATTCAGTAAAGCATAGAAAATGGTGGACATGGCATGGGTAATCAAATTTACAAAAAAAAAAAAGCATTCTCTTAAATGGTGGATAAAAAGGGCAACAAAGAAGGTTTAACTTTAAACAGAACAAAGGCAAACAGGAAGTAATATTACAAAAATTTTGCCCATGCAGGAACACAGCATTAAGAAGAATACAGTATACAGTTTTTACAGTATGTCTGCTTCCTGTTTTCACTCTTTCGCCTCTTGCAGGAATTTCAACTCTGAATGGCTGCATCTGTCACAGAACTGGTGCTGTGAGGTGACCCAGTGAAATTAACGATACAAAAAGCAATACTCACTTAAATGCTAGAAAAAGGCTTTTTATGTTAATGTTAAAGAACGTTTAACATTAACATAAAAAGTAAAACTTTATTTTACAAACCCTTCATTCTGTCTATGGGGACACAGTATAAAAAATACAATACACAGTATATCCAACATGTCTGCCTCCATTGTTCACTCTCTCCACCTCTAGAGGGAGTCCCAGCTCTTTTAAGGGCGACAGAGCTGAAACTGTGAGAGGAGAAAAACAACTGGTTTCTTTTTAATGACTATATGATTCAAACCATTATGCAAAAAACAACAGGTTGCATTCAATAAGTAATGCCTCTTTTTTGGGGTGGGGTGTTTAGTTGATGGTGGCATAGAGGCTGCTGGGATCAGCTGAGGCTCCAGCAGAAGAAGAGGAAGCTTTAACTTTCATGTAGGTCACTGCATCATCTTCATCATCACCCCGAACCTGGAAGGTAAGAGAACCAATCATATATTAAATAAACACAAGTTAACAAAACATGACCAAGAGTTCTGAACATCCTGATTTGCTGTTATCTAACAACTAAAATGTTCAATTTGCCGCAGCTTTTCTTTTTTATTAGATCATATAATATCTTGCGAGTAGAGTTCACATGTTGATCTGATGGTAGTGCTACTTTACAGGAAAGGTGAGAGGATCACTGAAAACACACAGGAATTCAGCGTCTGTCATGAATCATACTCATAAATATTCACAAAACATTTCATGTCATTCTGCTCTTTAGTTTTGGACCACAGAGACTGACAGCCTGACTGACATCAGAATCATACATATCATAAATTAATAACAACCTTAATAATAAAATAGAATATTCATTCACTGCCATCATCACTAGAACCAATCAGACAGCTTACCCGGCCTTTACTGTTGGTCTTGCCGGTGTAGCTGATGGAGGCGTAGGAAACACCATCTTCAGGATCAGCCTACACAGAGAAGACAACATAATGTGCTGCTCACTAACAATTAACAATGACTCACTCGCACCCATTCAGTCGTGTTTGTTGTGGTGGCAGCCCGGCTGACGGTGAGTGTCCTGGTTATTTCTCCTTTTTTTTTCTGTGATTCTGTTTTTTTCTCTGTACTCTCAGCCTGCCACCACACTCCTCCACCAACCCCCTGACCAGTTCTCCCGCCTCGCCTCCTCTCTTCCTCGGCCCCCAGTGTCCCTCGGCTCTCTGGTCTCAGTCTCCTCGGTTCCCCGTGCCTGCGTTTCCCCGGCGTCCACCTCTCCCTCATCTCCAGTCCCTCCAACCCCTTCTTTCCCAAATAAAACTTGTTAACCCTGAGCGTTGCATTTGAGTCCACTCTGTCCACTTCACAACAGTGTTGCTCACATTTCTCACATACCTGCTTGCTTACTTACTTACTTTCTATACACTATATTCTGCAATGTTTGTTCTTTTCTCTTTCTGGTGTACAACTGCACAGTAAATATAAAATAAAATAACCTAATTTATACAACCCCAGTTGTATAAACAACATTCAACTCACCATGTTTCCATTCATGTGTGTTTTGTTTCCTGAAAAGAGTCGAGTTAGTTTAGTTTACACAGTGACAATTTATATTAAGTTATGAAAAGGTTTCTTGTTTATAAAAGTTGCTCTCACCTTTAGTTCTCTTCCATCTTATGACTACCACAGCAATTATCATGAGAGCTGCTAAACCCACAGACACAATGATGAACGTCAACTGAACTTGAGAGAGACCTTAATGTTAAATACAGTCAGAATTAATAAAGTGTCTGTCAAAAATGTTTTCCTTCATGTCTTTTCTAACTTTTAATGTATTTCTGTTCTGTTTGGTCACTACCTTTTTGTTTTGTTTGATCATTGTTGTTTGTCCCTGCTGATGTGATTTTCTTCACTGATGTCCATGTATTTCTTGTTTCCCATGTTGATGTAATTGTTTTTGGTGATTCTGTTGTTGTTGCACCATCACCTTAGCAAATACGGTAACAAAATGTAAACAAGAATGATGTGATAATAAAACATCAACTCATCATTATTACTATTATTATTAATATAGATAAAATCTCAGCAAAATAAATTTAACTAAAGATGAACATGTTCCATATGTGTTTCAATAATAAAAACAATAATAACATGTAAATGGTGTATGTTATTTTTCAATGGATTTTGATAGTTTGGATGTTAGAAATTTGAATTGATTAAAATCTTTAGAAAATAATTTCTATATCCTCACTTTTAAACACAGCAGTTTAAATGGTGATTAAATATATGAGTTTGACGATCTCATCAAAACATCCAAGACCGCCACTGTAAACATGCATCTACACTTTATCCAAATCAACTGCATTTGTGTATAAAATATGTTCACACATTTATTTTATGTTGGATCAGTAAGCTTCTTTGTTTCTCACCTTCTTGTTTTGTTGTTGTCACCATTGTTGTTGTTGTTTGTGCTGCTGTCAATATTGATCTTGTTGTTGTTGCATCCCCACCTGACAAATTAAAAAAACCCAACAAACTGTAAAATGAGAAAATATCTCATGTTTACAAATGATGTCATCTCAAAACTTTAAATCTCAGCTGGTTTCTCACCTGAGGACTGAGGGCTGAAGGGAAACAGCTGCACTTTTTTAGTGTAACTATCAGTCACGTTACATTTAAACAACTCAGGATGCTTCGACTTCTGATTAAAGTCAGATGTTGTAAATGTCACAGTGGCTGAACAGGAATGCTGTGATCTCTTCATGTCTGTCAGATCATTCTTATTACCCTCATACAGCCACTTCACTGTGTGTCTACAGTGTTCATATGTCAACACAGAGCAGGTTAACGTCACCTTATCAGCGTCCTGATGTTCAGTCACTGGTGAAGATGGAGATATTGTGAGAGAAAGACAACAAGAGTAAAGTTAACTTCATCACTGTGATCATAATTATTGTAATGTTTCAGTATATTGTTCTAACAAGATAGTTTGAACTGAAAACATTATGATGGAAATACTCACTGTTAATAACAGACAGATGAAACACAGAGCCTTCACCTTGTTGTTGTCCTGATCTGAACTGTCTGCAGGTGTAAAGACCAACATCCTCGACTGTGACCTTCTTTATAACCAGAGAACAGTTCTCTGTAACACTCAGTCTGTCTGATTTACCTTTGGTGTTGTTGAGAATCTGCCCTTGTTCAAACAGCGTATCCGTTTGTTTCGTTCTTGAGTCAGTGAAGATCCATGTAGTACTGTCACACTTACCCTTATCATCTATCACATTTTTACAAGACAGAGTGACTTCATCTTCAACTCTGATTATGAAAGACTGTTGTCCAGTTGCTGCTGTTGAGATAAAGAGATAAAAATTAAAAGTTAAAAATTAATTTACCTGTTATATTCAGTTAGTATGAAGATAATTTTAGATACAACAGATGTTTGTAAATATATCTCACTCTTCATGGTTCAAGGTTCAGTGTGTAAATTTTATTGGCACCTAGTTTACTTATTAGTTTACTTTATTGCAAGGTACAAGATTGTTTTTTTTTTTTATAACTATACAAAGTTTGTAGTTCATTCATGCTACACAAACACAACTTAACAGAAAATTAAATGTGTAATAAAATATGGTAAAATATAAAATCAATTAAATTAAATTAAACAATATTTAGGTATTTATATACAAAGGTTAATTACTACTCACATATACAGCCAGACCATTCTGCAGTTAATTTTTAAAAATAATTAATAAAGTACAATTAGAAAAAATATTGAAGTTTAACACTGTTTAATTATTTCATATGTGTTTCATGTGTCCTTACCTGGAAACCTAAACACCAGCATCAGAAATAAAGACATTATAATCCATCTGAATTCAACCATCGTGCTTCTCTCTTGGTCTCACGCTTTCAACTGTCAAAGTCTCTAACGTGCTGCTTCTGAAAGTAATACAGCATCTACTTCCTGTGATTAGGAAGGAGTCACTTCCTCAAACTGACTTCAGTCTGTGTTTTCTCTCCTCTGTTGGTTGTTGAGAGTAGGTGTGATATTAGCTTTTATTCTCTCTGAATTTCTTGTGGATAGTTTACGTCTACTTCTGATGCATTTCACTGACTTTCTTATCTACAGTGATTTACAGCGAGGGTAACAGCAGACATTGTGTTGATCAGAAACAGAACAGAGGAAGCTGAATGTGTGATGATACTGTTTTGTTGTTTTCTTTACATAGTGTTTATTAGAAACAGACAGGATCCATGGTGATGTTTAACAGCACACATGAACAGACAGGTGAAGAGTCAAACTCCTCTCCCACCAGAATCTGACTCCTGATGTCCATGGTGCAATATGGTGATACTGTAGCAGCTGCTGAAGAACACAGATAAGATGATATTTTACTGCTCCTCTCCCACCATATTGTCCATGGTGCAATATGGTGATACTGTAGCAACTGGTCGAGAGAAGTGTTTTGATGAGAATGTGGTTAACAACAGCAGCAGAGCTCTGGAGGTGTTACCCTCTAATGATGATCAGATAAACATCAGAAACACAAATAGTGAACACCATGATGAGAGTCTGACTGAACTGTCTTCAAATTACCTGGAGGTAGAAGAAGTCCCCACAATCCCACTTTTGAACACGTGTACTAGCAGGTCAGTTCATGCTGTTTTGAAATGGTTTGTTAGAAGGACCATATGAATATGTATACACTTCAGATCAGATATATATAGTATGGACAGCAGAATAAATGTGTATGGGTATGTGAGAGCATTATTTGGGGGTGTCTAGCAACACCCATGTCTGCTTGGTTAGCCATCACCAGTTTGTCACACAGTCCCACAGGATCTTCGCTCGGTTATAGTCAACTACCTTATGAGGTGTCTTCCATTTTCATCTTGGGACTTCCAGCCCATCCTCATGGCACATGTTCCTGTGCACTATAGCCCCTACTCCATTGCTGTCCTCCTTTTTCCATTGCAGATAGTACCCAGAGATAGTACCCCTCAATGCAGCTGGTCGTCATAGCAACGCCTCAACCAACTGCTGCAATGTAGTGTTCAACGCGACACACACATGTGACCCGCACACACCAGCTGTCTCTTGATTTAAGTAAAAACGTTTTAACATTACTCAGAAAGTAAAGACATATAAGTTCTACAAAATCTTACAGTTTCAAACTTTCAAGCACATTTTTTATCAATTTTCATAAAACTGCCAATATTTGAAATCTACACAGTTGATTTCTCCCCTCAAAATGTCTCAGAAGTGGATTTAGTGATGAAATAAAGCATGAAAATTGGAAAATATAAAGCTTTGTTTTGCTGGCCTCTGTTTGGCACGCATGTGGTGAATTGTGACGATTCTCTCACGATCTTGTGGTGCATCACTTGTGCGATTGACTGATTGAGCGATTGATTGAGTCATAGGCTTTCTTGTTGTCAATCCATACAGTGCACAGGTTGGTCTGACTGGTTTTGCAGTCTCGAGTGACTATCAACCCGTAGCTTTGCTCCTCTGGTATTACTGCCAATTCCCTGCCTGACAGGAACTTAGGTTATTGGCTGGTAGTTGGATGGGATAGTTCCCTTCAGGGGATCCTTTGTGATCAAGACTGTCCGTCCTTGGGTTAACCATTCTGGGTGGGTCCTGTCAATTAGCATTTGGTTCAGTTGTGTACTGCCAGGCATTTGTTGGGTGCAGTTAGTTTCTCCAGAACACAGATAAGATGATATTTTACTTATCTAAGATTTGCTGGTTCCTCATTTAATCTTTGCAGTTATTTTTATCTGAGAACTGAAGAAGTGTTTTGATGAGGATGTGGTTAACAGCTGCAGCAGAACTCTGGAGGTGTTACCCCCTAACGATGACCAGTGAATGCACTGATGAGAGTCTGACTGAACTGTCTTTAAATATCCTGGAAGTAGAAGAAGTCCCCATTATCCCACTTTTGAACACATGCAGTAGCAGGTCAGTTCATGATGTTTTGAAATGGTTTGTTATAAGGACCTTTTAGTAAACTAAAAATAAAGATTTTTTTTATCCTAGTCTGGATGACGTCACCACTTCAGGGTTTTTCCTGCTCTGAACACTGCAGAGATGAGTCTTTGGCCCTTTAATGACATGTCACATTGCAGCTACAGTAAGAGGTCATGCTTTTTGAACACATCTGAATGCAGCCTGAGCTGCTGCACCAATTCTTAGTTAATTTTAGATGCATGTATGTGTTATTTAGACAAATGTTAGAGCGCAGTGCAAACAGAGGTTTTCAACCAGAGGGAAGTTTTACTACGAGAGGTGAGAGAACAAGTAGTGGTCAGCTGAGCAGAGGCAAGCTTGTGGTGTGTGTGTCTGTGTGTGTGTGTGTGTGTGTGTGTGTGTGTTTGTGAGATACAGAACCAAAAAACACATTGTAAAGTTAAATGTAAATTATTTTTTATTTGCAAATTATATTATTGTCAGCCATAACAAAGTAAAGATTGTTACAGATTCCATTAAGACATGAAAATCCTTAAAGTTAAACACATAGTCCCATATGTTTAAATTAAAGTCAATCATAATCAATTCATCTGTACACTGAGGGACAAAACAGTTGCACCTTCAAAATGAACCATTATAACTCACAGCTACATTTTGCAGCAGGAAATAAATTTTGATTCATGATTATCTTAGATTTATATTTATTGTATATAGTACAATAAGTAAGTAATGTTGTGAGACAGGACAGAACGGACCCAAACGCAACGCTCAGAGGGAAGGAGGTTTATTGAGGGTTTACATAGGGGGCTAGGGAAGAGGAGACGGAGGTGAGGTGGACGCCGGGGGACGTGGACACGGAGGACCGAGGAGCAGGCCGTGAGGCGAGGACCGGAGGATGATCCCAGCTGACAAAACGGAGGATGAGGGTGAGTCAATCTGCTAGGGAAAGCAGAGGGACAGAGTTAGCACAGGGAATAACCGGGGCCTGGAGAACAGAGATCGCTTCTTAACCAGAGCTTGAGCGGTTGGCACCAGGTTGGGAGCAACGATGATCAAGCAAAGATGGTGTGGAGAACCGGGGTTGAAATACTTGCCGGTGCGGCTGTGAATTTGCTACGCGCTTCGGACGCTGCATGAAGGTGTTTTACGTCACTTCCTGTGTCCTCTTTGTGGCACTACAGAGCACTTGGCGCTATAAATATAAACTAATATTGGCGTGTAGATGTGTTCGGGGTGGGACAGTTATCAAGCACATAAAGTTTTGTTCAGATGTGAGCATGTACACTGAGAGCATGTTACAACAACTTCATGTGTCATGGAGAAGAGTTGATCTTTGACACCACGCCATGGACACGCCCATTGACGACAACTCACAGATAGCACAACTTTTCATCGTCAATGCCTTTAGAAGGCACAGCAGAAAGTTGAAACCGATCCGACTTAATCACTAGGAGGAGTTCGTTAAAGTACGGAGTGTGTAAATCATCCAAAAATGGCCGTAAAATTCAAAATGGCCGACTTCCTGTTGAGTTTAGGATATGGGTTCTTGAGGCTTTTGAGGCACGGTTCGTGCTCAGGCCCTAATAAAGCGAAAAAAGAAACCCAGTCTCTCACTGTCAGCCGGGCTGTCCCCACAACAAGTAATTAGACAATGAAATGCAGTTTAGTATCTTATAGTGTTTATTAAAAACAGGATCGATGGTGATGTTTGACAGTCACATGAACAGACAGGTGAAGGACAGGTGAGTCTCCTCTCCCACCAGAATCTGACTCCTAATGTCCATGGTGCAATATGGTGATAATGTAGCAGCTGGTGAACAACACAGAAAAGATGATATTTTACTAGTTTAAGGTCTGCTGGTTCCTCTTTTTATCTTTGCCGCTATTTTTATATGAGAACTAAACGAGAAGTGTTTTGATGAGAATGTGGTTAACAGCTGCAGCAGAGCTCTGGAGGTGTTACCCTGTAATGATGACCAGGTAAACATCAGAAACACAAATAGTGAACACCCTGATTCGAGCCTGACTGAACTTCCTTTAATTGCCTGGAGGTAGAAGAAGTCCCCACAATCCCACTTTTCAACACATGTAGTAGGAGGTCAGTTCATGCTGTTTTGTTTATCCAAGTCTGGATGACATCACCGCTTCAGGGTTTTTATGCTGATATGAAACTTTGGTCCTTTAATGATGTCATATTACAGCTACAGTAAGAGGTCATGTGAATCCACTATTGACATTTCTAAACGCAGCCTGAACTGCTGCACTTATGTGTATTTTCTTGGCATTTTAGATGCATTTACATGTTATTTAGACAAACGTTTGAGCGCAGTGCAAACAGGGGTGTTCAACCAGAGGGAAGGTTTATTAAGAGAGGTGAGAGAACAAGTAGTGGTTAGCTGAGCAAAGACGTATGTGTGTGCGTAGGTGTCACTAAACCCTTTTTACTGGGGCACGTGCCTCTGTATTCATATGGGCCCCAGTCAACATCTGGTTACATTTCAAAATATGTTTTATCTATGCTGGTTTACATTGTGAAACATTGCAAGAAAATACTCGAAGGTCAAAGCGATTGTTTACAACGATGAGAGGAAATCTCATCAAGAAGAGGATGGAGAGGGACTATCTTTCTGGGCACAAGAAGAGAAAACAACTCAATGAGAGTGACTTTCAGGAACAGCAGTCAGGTAAACTTGTGTTCTCTCCTCTCAAAGTCTGATGTCAGCAAATAACAGTGATGTTAGGTTATTGTTCAGCTGCAGTGAACCTCTCTTCTCTGTAGGCTTTGCTAACCCAGCTGGGCAGCGCATCTCTTGGTCTGTTTGTGTTCTGATTGCTTGCCAGCCTTTGTGTCTGACCAATGTGAGAGTGAAATTACAATTGATAAAGGCCGACGGGTGTTTATAAACTGCAGCTCGGAAAAGATAACCATGCGTCCATATGTGTGTGCACAAAGAAAAACTTGCTTATTCCAGCAGCAACATTAGTGGGACTAATCCAGACAACACATGGATGTGATGGTACTCCTCATAGGTGCACATCATTTTAAAACAAGAATTATCTGTCTGTCAGCCAAGATGTAGTAACTCTGGACTAATGCAAGATGGAAAGCAATGGATTGACACAGACTATTAAAATGTTGATTAGCGGGGCAGACTGGGCTATATGGATGCATCTCTTAGTAAATAATAAAAATCATGTGTTCAGTCAAGTCAAAGTAGTATTATACATTTGAAAGAGTATTAAAGGAAACCTGTGGGAGCCAGTTTGAATGGGCCTGATGCAGCCGATAACATTTATATCTAGCAAGTATTGCTATCTATAATTTACAGGGGATATGCTAAAGTTTGTTATTAGAGTAGATGCTTGATCATCAGCCAGTACAGCCAGAAGTATGTGTGTGCAGAGGTCAAATTCAAACCAACATAAGATTTTTCTAGAGGAGGTTTATTCCATTCAGGCTTATTACAGAGACATTAAAATATTAAAATTGAACCCATGCACAAAATCTGGATGAAATACCTTTGGAAAGTGTATGAAATGTGTTAATATGCGCTTCACCAGCTTCCCGTATTAACACATTTCATACACTTCCAAAAATGTATGAGGGATGGGAGGGCCCGTGCCCCAGTAGAGTATTATGTTTGGCAACGCCCCTGGGGGTTGATATGAATATGCTAAGATATATAAAGTAAGTACAAGGTTAACATTATGACATTAAATACAGAATCAACAGCTGAAGGTATGATATGAATACAGATCAGATATATACAGTACAGACAGCAGTATAAATGTGTATGGGTATGTGAGAGCATTATTTAAAGACATTAAATAAGAAATGCATGAATAATAAGTTATCTTTCCTTTTAAATAAAGTTCAGATCCAGCTGCTGTCTTCTGAACTGACTGCAGATGAGAAACATTTCACAACTGAGAAAGTTAAAGACATTTTAGAAAACCTGATGTTAATATGAGATCAAAGACTTGAGTATCTTTGTCCAGCGCAGACTGACATAGAAATAACTTGGAACAAAAACACATTTGTCACACTGATAAATAAAAACACTTTCAGTCATCCAAAATCTTAAAATGATCTCATGATTCTGTTGTTTGTCTATCACATGTAAACAGAAGTTGTTGATCAGTGAAGTCTGACTGAGACAGAAGGCTCTCCAACATTTTCATAGTTCACCGTACCATCATCTTCATCTTCATCATTATGCTCCTGTGAAACACAACAACACATGAGATTCATTAGAACGTCCCACATTTTCTCCTAGCTGACGGTAGATGTTTTCAAACTGAACACAGTTTACAGTTGAGTCAGCAGAACGTGAACACACATTTGATGAATCAGTTTCAAACTCACCATGTTTCCATCCATCTGTGTTTTGTTCCCTGAAAAGACAAAAATGGGTCTAGTTTAGTTTCCACAGTGTTTATTTTAACTTCTGGTTTATGAATGTTTCATCTGTGGATGCCCTCACCTTCAGTTCTTCTCCATATGTTGACTGAAACAACAGTTATTATGAGTCCTGATAAACCCACAGGCACAATGATGAACCGCAACAAATCTGAAAATAGACCTTAGAAGTGTTAAATACGTGTTTTGATGATCAGATAGTTTGTAGAGTGTTCTTGCATTTCTCTACATCTCTAATATCTGAATAAACTAAGTGTGTTTTCTAACTTTAAATGTATTTCTGTTCTGTTCAGTCACTACCTTTTGGTTTTGTTTGTTCATTGTTGTTTGTCCCTGCTGATGAAGTTTTCTTCACTTAAATCTTTTGAAAAGAATTTCTACATCCTCACTTGTAAACACAGCAGTTCAAATGTTTTGTAGTGTGTGTGGAGCTCAGAGAATGGGAAAATAAACATAAATGGTCATTAAATATATGAGAGTTTGCCCACGTCATCAAAACATACAAGCATCTACATTTTAACCACCTCACCTGCATTTGTGTATAAATTATGTTTACAACTCTTAAATTTGTTTTATGTTGGATCAGTAAGCTTCTTTGTTTCTCACCTTCTTGTTTTGTTGTTGATCCCATTGTTGTTGTTGTTTGTGCTGCTGTCAATATTGATCTTGTTGTTGTTGCATCCCCATCTGACAGATTAAAAAAACAAAATCCAACAAACTGTAAAATGAGAAAATACCTCATGTTTACAAATGATGTCATCTCAAAACTTTAAATCTCACCTGGTTTCTCACCTGAGGACTGAGGGCTGAAGGGAAACAGCTGCGCTTTTTTAGTGTAACTATCAGTCACGTTACATTTAAACAACTCAGGATGCTTCGACTTCTGATTAAAGTCAGATGTTGTAAATGTCACAGTGGCTGAACAGGAATGCTGTGATCTCTTCATGTCTGTCAAATCATTCTTATTACCCTCATACAGCCACTCCACTGTGTGACTACAGTGTTCATATATCAACACAGAGCAGGTTAACGTCACCTTATCAGCGTCCTGATGTTCAGTCACTGGTGAAGATGGAGATATTGTGAGAGAAAGACAACAAGAGTAAAGTTAACTTCATCACTGTGATCATAATTATTGTAATGTTTCAGTATATTGTTCTAACAAGACAGTTTGAGCTGAAAACATTATGATGTAAATACTCACTGTTAATAACAGACAGATGAACCGCAGAGTCTTCACCTTGTTGTTGTCCTGATCTGAACTGTCTGCAGGTGTAAAGACCAACATCCTCGACTGTGACCTTCTTTATAACCAGAGAACATTTCTCTGTAACACGTCTGTCTGATTTAGCTTTGGCATCGTTGAGAATCTGCCCTTGTTCAAACAGCAGTACCGTTTGTTTCGTTCTTGAATCAGTGAAGATCCATGTAGTACTGTCACACTTACCCTTATCATCTATCACATTTTTACAAGACAGAGTGACTTCATCTTCAACTCTGATTATGAAAGACTGTTGTCCAGTTGCTGCTGTTGAGAAAGAGAGAAAAATAAAACTGTTATATTCACTTAGTATGAACATAATTTTAGATACAGCTGATGTAAATATTACAATATATTATGTAAATATTCACAAAACATGTTCACAAAACTCATGTTGCATACAAAACTTGGCTTTCTCAGTTAAAGGAATAATACTTAAAGGTTCAGTGTGTACATTTTATTGGCACCTAGTTTACTTATTAGTTTACTTTAGATTGTTATGTTTTTTGTCATTATACAAAGTTTGTAGTTCATTAATGCTACACAAACACAAATTAACAGAAAATTAAATGTGTAATGCAATATGGTAAAATATAAAATTTATTAAATTAAATTAAACAATATAAAGTTATTTATATACAAAGGTTAATTACTACTCACATATACACCCAGACCATTCTGCAGTTCATTTAAAATAATTAATAAAGTACAATTAGAAAAAATATTGAAATTTAATAATGTTTAATTATTTAATGTGTGTTTCATGTGTCCTTACCTGGAAACCGAAACACCAGCATCAGAAATAAAGACATTATAATCCATCTGAATTCAACCATCGTGCTTCTCTCTTGGTCTCACGCTCTCAACTGTCAAAGTCTCTAACGTGCTGCTTCTGAAAGTAATACAGCATCTACTTCCTGTGATTAGGATGGAGTCACTTCCTCAAACTGACTTCAGTCTATGTTTTCTCTCCTCTGTTGGCTGTTGAATGTAGGTGTGATATTAGCTTTTATTCTCTCTGAATTTCTTGTGGATAACAAAGAATGAAAAACCTTTAACTTTTATATTTGATGCATTTCACTGACTTTCTTATGGTGTTGATCAGCAACAGAACAGAGGAAGCTTAAGGTGTAAAGATTGTTCATTTTAAAAAAATGTTTGCCATAATACAACTTGTTTACTTCAGATAAGCCAACCACACTGTTTGATATGTTTAAATTAAAGTCAATTAAAATGAGGGACAAAAGTGATGCAAAACTGCTGCAGCTTAAAAAGAAAAAAAACAGTAATACTTAAAGTCACAGCTACATTTTGTTGCAGAAAATACATTTAGATTCAAGATTAAATTACATTAAATTTAGCAGACAGTGTGTTTGTTGATCAGAAACAAAACAGAGAAAGGTAAATTTGTGAAGACAGTTAAATTAAATAAATGTTTGTAATAATCCAAATTGTTTTCTTCAGATAGTGTTTATTGGAAACAGACTAGATCCATGGTGATGTTTGACAGCACACATGAACACTCAGATGAAGAGTCAAACTCCTCTCCCGTTAGAATGGTGAAGAAAACAGATAAGATGATATTGAAGAGTTCTGCTGGCTCCTCATTGTATCTTTGCACTTATTTTTTACCTGAGAGCTGAAGGGGAAGTGTTTTGATGAGAATGTGGTTAACAACAGCAGCAGAGCTCTGGAGGTGTTACCCTCTAATAATAACCAGATAAACATCAGAAGTACAAATAGAAAACAAATTGATGACAATCTAACTGAACTGTCTTTAATTACCTGCAGGTGGAAAAAGTCCCCACAGTCCTGCTTTTGAACATATGTAGTAGCAGGTCAATTCTTGCTGTTTAGAAATGGTTTGTAATAAGGACATTTTAGCAAACTAAAAACTAAAAGAGTTTCTGTTTTAGTCTAATTGACATCACTTTAGGGTTTTCATGCTCTGCATGCTGCAGAGATGAGGCTTTTGCCCTTTAATGATGTTATTTTACAGCTACAGTAAGAGGTCATGTGCATCAACACTTCTGAACGCAGCATGAGCTGCTGCACTTTAGATCATTCCTGCATCATCTTAGATACATTTACATGTTATTTAGACAAATGTTAGAGCACAGTGCAAACAGAGGTGTTGGACCCAATAGAGGAAGGTTTCCTCGAAAGGTGAGAAAACAAGTAGTGGTCAGCTGAGCAGAGGCAGATGTTAGTGGTGTGGTGTGTGTGTGTGTGTGTGTGTTTGAGAGATAGAGAACTATAAAACACACTGTAAGGTTGAATATTGAATTTATTTTAATTTGCAAATGATATTAATTGTCAGCCTTCACAATGTAAATATTGTTGCAGATTCCATTAAGACTCATTAAAGCCAAACACATTGTTTGATATGTTTAAAATGAATGTCTGCGGCAACTTAAAAAAGAACCTGTAAATGTTAAACTCACAGCTACATATGATAATACATATAGACAATACAGAAGGTGTAGATATGAAAACCCTGAGATCTAAAAAAAACTTGAACAAACAGTGTGTAGCAGTTACAGTAGGCAGTGCAGGTGTAAATATAAAATACATAGTGCAGGTGTAGGTACAAGTAATGCTAACATTAAATAAACAGCTTATGGTATGATATGAACACAGATCAGATATATACAGTATGGACAGTAGAATAAATTTGTATGGGTATGTGAAAGCATTATTTAAGTTAAATAAGAAAAAAATATTAATATAATAAGTTAACTATCATGTTAGATGAAGTTAAAATCCAGCTGGGTCACCAGTGTTTTCATTCACCGTACCATCATCTTCAACTTCATCTTCATCATTACACTTCTGTGAAAGAAAACAACACAAAAAGCAAATACTGTACGTGTTCAAACACAGATCAGCTCCAGAGAAAGTGGAGCTTAGTGCCTTGCTCAAGGGAAACAGAGTATAGTCATTGGAACAGATGAGAGCATAACTCATTCACTTTCCTAACAAACACTCTCAAAGCCAGTTCAGAGACTCAAACGTTCATCTTTTCAAATTACAGTCCCACTTCTCTGACTCTCAGGATTCCTCTAATCCACATTTAGCATGAATTAAATTTTAAGATTCGCTCCCTAATGTGCATATAGTGTCCAAAAGCCCCCAGAATGCCCCACATTTTCCTCATAGCTGACAGTTGATCTTTATAAACTGAACCCAGTTCACAGTTGAGTCAGCAGAACCTGAGCTCAGATTTGATTATTTAGTTTCAAACTCACCATGTTTTCATCTATCTGTGTTCTGTTCCCTGAAAAGACAAAAAAGAGCTGAGTTTAGTTTCCGCAGTGAAAATGCAGGTTGTTTTTAAATTCTTGTTTTTAAAAGTTTCATCTGTGGATGCTCTCACCTTTAGCTCTTGCCCATATATTGACTGCAACAACAGTTATTAGGAGTACTGATAAACCCAAAGACACAATGATGAACCGCCACCAACCTGAAATGAGAACTTAGAAGTGTTAAATATAGTCAGATATGTTTTGATGATCAGTGCCTGTATTTGTTAAGATTCTCAAAGTGCCATTTTGTACTTGAGTGCTGAAATGTACTTCTACTTCTACTCAATCTTAAGAATAAAAAACAATTAATCAAATTTCTTAAAGCTAAGAATCACTCTTAAGTGCAATTTATACTCCTGCATCGAATCGACGGTGTAGCCTCATCGTAGCCCCCTACCCTACGGCGTAGCCTGACGTGCACCTCGATCCTCTCCCAGTTATTTAAGACAGCTCTAGAGGTCTCTCAAGCCGTTAGGAGTTGCCAGTAGGGGCTTGTGATGGCATTGAGGAGACAGAGACAGGTGCAAATCTCTCAGGAGAGGAAGAATGTTTCTAAATTATTTGATGATGCAGTTAATAATACATACAGTATTGCTTGGATAGAGCAGGCATCAACTTTGTCAGCGGGTTTGTGAGGAACGTCATCTCAACACTGACTTTATGCAGCAATGTGTTTTCAGCTAAAGTGAAGAAGATGATGACTTTGTTTCTTGGCCGCAGGACAAATGCTGCAATGCCGATGATTTAGGGCCATCAAAACCATCAATAAGCCGAATAGTTATGGAAACAATTTTAGCACTTACAGCTTCACACACTGTCACGCGTTTCATCAACTTCCCAACAACACCCCGTAATCCGACAGAAACACAGTTCATATAGTCGGCAATACAGGAGCGCATTTAATGGCTCTCATATAAAGATAAACCTTTTTTAACTTTTATTTATTAATGTGTAGGCCTATATCATAATGTATTATCTTGAAAAGTCTTTATTGTTGAAACTCCTCTTAGGAATTTCACCATTCAATGTGAATTTATCTGAGAATATTCTTAAGGAAGGAAATTCTATTTAGTGATTGGTCCTTGGTGACATCGTCATCCAAAATCCTATTTGCGGCACAGCAAATTGTCGTAAATCAGCAAAAAGACTTAACATTTAGTCCTACACTTCACTCAAAATCGGACTACGATGCTTGATAGCTAACTTCTAAGCACAGCTTTGAGACAAGAATTTTTTTACTCTTAAGTCAGTTCTTAGCAGTGTTCTTATGAGTAATTCTGATAAGCTTGATAAATAGTGCCCAGAGATTTGTTAGTGTGATCTGTACTGTCTCTATGTATCTAACATTAGTATAAACTAATATAACTCAATTATTGTCATTTGTAGATGCTGTGTTGTTTGTCCCTCCTGTTACTTTCACTGATGTCCATTTATTCACCTTAAAAAAAAAAATTAAAAAAATAAAAATAAAACAAAGAATGATGTGAAAATAAAACCTCAAATCTAAACAAACAGTTTAGTAATTATTTGTGTGTGTTATTTATGTGTAATTATTTACATCAGTTTGAAGTGATTTTAAACAGCTCAGCATATTCTCACCTGGTTTCTCACCTGAGGACTGAGGGCTGAAGGGAAACAGCTGCACTTTTTTAGTGTAACCATCAGTCACGTTACATTTAAACAACTCAGGATGCTTCGACTTCTGATTAAAGTCAGATGTTGTAAATGTCACAGTGGCTGAACAGGAATGCTGTGATCTCCTCATGTCAGTGAGATCATTCTTATTACCCTCATACAGCCACTCCACTGTGTGACTACAGTGTTCATATGTCAACACAGAGCAGGTTAATGTCACCTTATCAGCGTCCTGATGTTCAGTCACTGGTGAAGATGGAGATATTGTGAGAGAAAGACAACAAGAGTAAAGTTAACTTCATCACTGTGATCATAATTATTGTAATG